TTGTCCGATGTCGACTCACGAGTCACGGGCCAACGTTAGCGATATCACGGCAACCGACTGTCATTATTCGATCGCGGCGCAATGTCGGCCCAAGCGAAGTTAGCCGACTCTTGTCCGATGTCGACTCACGGGCCAACGTTGGCGATATTACGGCAACCGACTGTCATTATTCGATCGCGGCGCGATGTCGGCCCAAACGAGATTAGCCCAGAAATGCAAATTTTGGGTCTCTAGCACTATTAGGTTACACTCGGTACTTAACACACAGCGCAAACCGTGTCCGTGTACTGTGCAGAATACTCTTTTTACCATGATGTCGCTCACATCAACCTGTGAGTCGAGGTATCGGACAAGAGTCGACTATCACGGCTACACTATCCGATCGCGGCGCGACATCGGCCCAAGCGAGGTTAGTCGACTCTTGTCCAATGTCGACTCACAGGCAGAGATGCCATACGTAAGACCGACCACCATACTCAGGCCGTCAGGCGTGTGGCTCAGGTAGGAAATGCCGATACTCGGGAAACGGGCCAAGATCGGCACGAGCGTCGGCTTGCCGAAGCTTGATGTCCAAGCTTGGCCCAATTGTGGCCGAGGATCGTAGTGAGCGCACTAGGATCGGCAACAAACTTGGGTAACCGAGATTTGGCAACCAAGTATTGCCCGATACTGGGCCGAAGTTTGGTAGACAGTACATTATTTTTTTTTGTAGACAGCACATTATATATATATATATATATAAAAGCTCTAGAACTTTCTCTATATTTGGTTCGTTAATAGGAAAGGTTAACCGTTAGCAATAACTCTAGTTTTTACTTCTGAAATACTCGCATTATAAACAATTACTCGTTAGATTGAAATACGTATCGCTCAAGCATTAGCTTAGTTACGAGTATGCGCTCTCAGTTATAACTCAGTAACATCTCAGTTATAAAGCGCCGAGTGCGATTGGAGTCCTGAGAGAGCTCCTTTTGCACGCACCTGATATCCGCGCAGTGACAATTACCGATTACCTTGGTGATTCTGACTTTGTGATCGTCTTTCTTTTGTTTCCACGGGCTTCTGCGGTACTCTTGAACAACTGTTATACACGGTGAAAAGTATTTAGCTTTCCGTTATGTCGTCGAAGTCATATGGTCGGGTGAAAAAAGGGCGATATATGAAAAAAAAATTAAAGTCGATACCAATTGATAAGTGCAAGAATGAACTGTATCATAGTGAGATGAATAGAACACTAAATGTTGAAAATGATATTTTTATTAAGTCTGGGCAACATGAGTTGAATATCAGTGGGCAATCTTTTAGTTCTGAAGATTTAGAAACTCCATCGGAAATATATTTAAATCCCAATTCAATAATTAGTGATTGTGACTTATCCAGCGATCATGATGATATCATTGTCCCTACTGATTCGCCAATTGTCAATCAACCATCTGTTGGAATGGAATGGAAGATCCGCGACTGGGCACTGCGTAATCGAACTAATATAACACTTAGTGCAGTGACCGATTTGTTGAACGTATTAAGAGGTGAAGGCCTGTCTTTGCCGAAGACTGCTGAGACCTTGTTGGGGACAATGCATTGCAGGAAACTTAAGAAAATGCCAGGTATCAACAGTATTGTTGGAGAATATGTATATTTAGGCATCAAAAAAGGCCTTAAAAATATTATCTCCCCGGATGGATACACCGAAGAAAATATTTCTCTCTTAATACACGTTGATGGAATGCAAATTTACCACAATTCTTCGAAACAAGTTTGGCCCATTGCTGTGAAAGCTTATCATCAAAATTATATTGTCAAACCTTTTGTAGCTGCAATTTATTGTGGAGATTGCAAACCTCTTTCTGCTGAAAATTATTTTTCTGACTTTATAGAAGAAGCAAATGACTTGATTGAAAATGGAATTCAATTAAACGGAAAAAAATACTCGATTAAAATCATGGCCATAGTGGCTGATTCTCCTGCCAGAGCATTCCTAAAGTGTTGTAAAACACCTGGTACATTTTATGCTTGCGAAAGATGTACAACAAAAGGTATATCGGTAGGAATTGGAAGGTCCAAGAAACGAATATATCCTCAAAGTGATGCTGAACTTCGCACGCGACAATCATTTGAAGAAAAACTTCAACGAGAGCATCATTACGAAAATTGTAATTCACCGATAATTCTGATGAAGAACGTTGATCCAATCAAGCAGGTGGTTCTGGAAGTTATGCATTTATTTATTTGAACAACATGAAATGGTTGTTGGATAAGTGGACATCGAGAAAGGAAGCAACACGCATAAAATTGGCTGATCTTAAACGTCTTCAAATTATAATGACACAATTGACCAGTGATATTCCATGTGAATTTCAGAGGAAAAAATTTGATATGTATTCTATCTGTCGATGGAAGGCATCACAGTTCAAGTTCATGCTCAATTATTGTGGAGCTGTTGTATTGAAAAACATCCTACCAAGTCTTCATTATCGTCATTTTTTACTGCTCGTGTTTGCAAGTCGCATTTTGAATAATAAAGAACTCATTGCGGGCTCGACTGACTATGCCAATGACTTACTGAGAAAATTTTTCGCTTTGTTACCTTCTGTATACGGAATAGGTAGCCAAGTTTTGAGTTGGCATAACATTATTTATGTTGCTGATAATGCTAAACATTTTAAAATACCATTAAATGATCTCTCGGGTTTTTGGGGCGAAAGTTATATAGGTTTATTTAAAAAATTCATTAAATCAACCAATAAACCACTTACACAAATTGTGAACCGATTGGATGAGCTTGAGTCTGGTGAACGCATGATAATTAAAAAAATATACGTATTGAATGATTGGATCATTTCCAAAAAATCTAGAGAGATTTTGTACCGTAACAAAAAATATATAATAGCAAGTCAAATAACCATACGTAACCTTACTCTAAAAACTAAGCATCCAGATAATGTAGTGCAGTTACACAGTGGCAAAGTTTTTATTATCTCACATATACTAATCAAAGTAGGAACACTAAAATATACCAATAATCTTGATGATGTTTATATTATGGGACAGGCAGAGTGTGATAGGGGAGAAGTTTTTGATTTTCCAGACTCTTCAATAAATTCGGGAATAATTTTAGTCAACGAATTTTCAACTACAATAAGATATGAGGATGCAAAGAACATCAAATACAAATGCGCGTTATTACACGTCGATGGAAAAAAATATGCAGTTACTCTTCTTCATGAATAAAATTGGTCAGTAAAGTGCAATAATAATGAAAAATGTGTAAAATTTAATGTAAAGCAGTGTTGCGCCCGCGTCAAGACGCCTGAAGACACCCAATACGTGCCTTCGAGTTGTAGCGGCGTGAAACAGCCGCGGTTGTTGCCAAGCACTTATTGATTAATTATGATTGATGTTATATTGTCAGATTGTATCTCGACCTAAAATCTGTCACGAATATCGGGATATCTAACGTGGAAAATGGCAAATGCATCATTGGATCCACAAAATTCCAAAGAACCGTACGCGATAGTTAAATTTGAGGGAACAGACGAAACCGGACAATTATGTATCGACTTAGTTTTAAAAAAGTGGTTCACAACGCGTGGTAAAAGAAATATGTGCAAATATCCACTTGAAACTCAATACCATTTGCGAGATCAGTTTCTTGAAGAGCTGAAAACGCCAGAAAAATTGTGGCCATGCTTTCCCTACACATTTATTATTGGTGCAGGTAAATAATTATGCTTCTTTATTTCTTTGTTCATGTTGGGATTTGGCAGAGTAAAGCTCACAGGGTTTACCTTTATACTTGTAGTTTATTAGAGCAAGAACTATAAAAGAACTGGGCGTCTTTACAAATGAGATCGCCGTGTCCGCGTGCTGTCGACTAGAGAGACTTGGGACGACTGACTAGACGCCACACAAAAAAGGCCATAAAAGAACAAAAGAAAACAGCGGGCAACACATAGGTGGCCTCGACCCGCGTGATACAAGCTATGCGAATAATACACGGGGATACAATTCTAACACTCCCCTTATCGCTGTGTATTATTCCTCGTACAACTCAAGTGTAACATGGAAATGCAATTTTCGTGTTTCGCTTTAGATAAGGATTTCGTTAAACCATCGGCTAACATTAAGTCCGTTCTTAAGTATTTTAT